AAAGAAACCCTCTACCCATTATCAGTCAGTCCCCATCTCTTCTGCCCTCACCCACAGCCTTAAGTAGCCATTTATCTATTTTCTGTCTATAGATTTTCTCATTGTGGACATTTCATAAAAAGGGAAGAACAGGATTGATGCATTAATTTGACTTTTGTGTCTGGGTTCTTTAAACATAATGTTTTCAGGTTTCATTCAGTAATATGTATCAATATTTCATTCATTTTTTATTGTGGAATAATATTTCATTTGTATGGATATGTCATATTTTGCTTATCTAACATGGTTTATTTCTACTTTTTTGGCTATAAGAATAATGCTGCTATGAATGTTTATATACAAGTTTTATGTGGACATATGTTTTCATTTCTCTTCAGTATATGCCTCAGAATGGAATTGCTGGGTCATATGATTCCTGTGTTTGGTTTTTTGGGGAATTGCCAGACTGTTTTTTTCCAAAATGGCTGTCCATTTTACTTCCCCACTTATGTCCAACAGTATGTGAAGGTTCCAGTTTGGTTTCTATTTGAATTACCCTAATGACTAATGTTGTTGAACATCTTATCGTGTGCTTATTGACAATTTGTTTTTCTTCTTTGAAGAAATTTAGGTTATTTTTATTTTTACTGTTGAGTTGTAAGACTTCTTCATATACCATACCAGATAAGTGATTTGCAAATATTTTCTCCCATTCTGTGAGTTTTCTTTTTACTTTCTTGATTATGTACTTCATAGCAACAAAGTTTATTTTATTTTATTTTGATAGAGCCCAATTTACTTATTTTTAAAATTTTGTTGCTTGTGCTCTTAGTGTTGTATCTAAGAAACTATTTGCTAAACAAGGTCATGAAGTTTTACTCCTTTGTTTTCTTCTAAGCATTTTATATTATTTTCAGCCTTTGCATCTAGGTCTGTGATCCATTTTGAATTAATTTTTAGGCATGGTAGAAAGTAGGATTCAAATTTATTCTTTTGCAGCACCATTTTTTTGATGTTTTAAAATCTTTTAATAAAGTTTCAAACTTTTTCAGTATAGGTTTTGAATCTGTTTTGTTGTCCTTAAGTACCTTACAATATATATATATTTTTAATTAAGGAATCATTGATATACAATCTTATGAAGGTTTCACGTAACATTGTGGTTTCAACATTCACACATATTATCAAGTCCCTGCCCACCCCATTGCAGTCACTATCCATCAGCATAGTAAGATGCCAGAGAGTCATTACTTGTCTTCTCTATGCTTTACTTCCTTCCCTGTGACCTACCTATATTGTGTATGCAGCACCATTTTTTAACAAAGACTATTCTTGCATGTTATAATGCTTAACCTGGGTTATTATCACTATTTAAAAATAGCCTCAAAATTGCAAGCTATTCTTAATGCTATGATTACAATTAGTAAAACATGTGTTCTCTAATATTTGGGGTTAAATTTTGAGTTGGTATTATTATTATTATTAGATAGCATTTTGGAACCACTGAAATTTGATAATCATCTATATAGGAGCAAGTGCAGCTTAAAACTTGAGATAAGTTAGTGCCTGGCACATAATAGGTATTCAGTGACTATTCACTGGATAGAAATGAATAAATCCATTTTTTTTGTTCAATGGGCATTTAGTTTGGAAAGTAACAAACATAAAAGTCTAGGGTTGAATAAAGAAAATTGTAAGTCAACTCTGTACAAATGGCAATAACAAAGAGTAAATTCAAATGAGTCTCTTCACATTCATACTCAACTCTTAAAATACAGCAGAAGCATATCTCACTACTTTTCAGATAATTGCCATACAACGAACCATTCTTAAAGTATGATCTGCAAAAATAATGGTACTATTTTACTATTTACTACAGTGGAAAGGGGATCTTAAATCAATTGGAACATATTAGGTCAAGTAAATTTAAATAGGTTTTTCTCTTACAGAACTTTCAGAGCCTTTTTTTTTTTTTTTTTTT